ATTCATTGGCCCAGCTTTTTGCGTCTTTCTGTGCATAACAGATAATAAATAGAGTTCAAGTAAATGTAGACATGTATGTACATACATAACATGCATACATATATGTATGCGAGATAAGTCGATGCGTTCATTTGGGATTTCTTTGGGATTTAATTTGATATCGAATTGAATATTTGGTCGAATCAATGAACCAAAGTTCAATTTGCATGATTGCCTTCCGGACAGTCATTCGTACTAAGTCTGTTAAACCCAGCTACAAACCCATGAGTGAAGATCATAAGCCAGTCACAGTTTTGGTATAAAGAACATCTAAATATTCGATTACTTAAATGTTTGTTTGATTTATTCTAAAAGTGTTTTATGCGAATATCTGACAAAAAAATACATCTATGACAAATATAGTTTATACTAAGTATCCGCAGGAAAACATTGTGATTGTAAATATAATTGAATCAAAATTGTAAAAAATAGTAAAATTATTTAAAATATAACTTTGCTTTGACTTGAAGTAGATTATTTGTTTATTTTTCACATAGGACAAAATTAATCATTTCTTTATATATGTAGGAGAGACTGGGGCACCTTCGGCATCGGGGCACCTTCGGCAATCGCGTTTTCGATATGAAGCTCTCACCGTACATCACTAGTTTCGATACATTGGTGTCGAATATCGAAATAAAGAACTGACACAAAGTTTGAAATTTCTAGCTAATAAGCTTATTTAGCTACATAGGTTTTTGTATTTTTATAGATGTTTCTGTAATATTTCAATTCCATTTCGTAAGTATTTCGTGTATAAAACTGTTTAAATTTTTAAGACAATATTATTAAAAAGTGATTAACTACGATGTGTATTATTATAGAAATATTTAAAAATATAATGTTTTTACAAAACTGATCGAAAAAAATGAAAAAACTATAAAATTACATTCGGGGTACATTCGGCATTTTAAAGTGGGGCACATTCGGCCATATACAGATTGTGCAATATTATTTCCTTAAAATGTTTTTGAGTTTGTCTTTAAAACTAATCCTTTAATATGGTTCGAAATTGCATATATAAGATCAAACGTGCTTTTATGGACGAAAATGCTAGGAAACCCCTATTTCTGATGGTGTGTGCGACCTTGAGATGAAAACGTCCGCCGCTAGAAAATAAAGCCCTATAATTCAAACATTATGTGGCGTTTTAAAACCAAATAGAGCCTTTGGAAGATCAGAATTTCAACCAGACTGATAGCGATGACAATTACCCGGCTATGACTATCGTGCCGAATGTGCCCCATCAAATGCCGAAGCTACCCCGGAGGCACATACCATGGGGCACATTCGGCAAATTTGACTTTTTTTACAAAACTGTACAATTTTTTAACTAATACTATTTTTTTATATCTTTTTGGTACTATTTTTTATAATTAAGTGTCAGAGGACAGTAATCAGCCATAAAGTTGTTATTTATGTGGATTAAGTTCTGAGATATAGAGCTCTAAAAAAAGTGCCGAAGGTGCCCCAGTCTCCCCTACATATTGGTTACTAAAAAACAATCATAAACATTTTTATGGGCCACGTTTTAAGGTAAAAAGGTCATATATATCGCTCATAAACCCACCTCAATTTTGCCGAGGATTCCGATATCAGATTTTTCACGAATTTTCTTTGGGAATCTAATTCAGAACATAAACAAATGTGTTAAACTTTCCACAATGAATTAATCTATGGGAAGAAAAAATGGAAGCCCCCATTCTTAATGTCCAAATGTAGCCTTCTATTGTTCATGGTAAAGAAAGAATTGAAGCTTTGTATTGAAATACATTTTTAATTACTACACATAAATGTCTATTTCTTAATGGATTTTTTTTCGAATAAAACATGAAATAAATATCCGAATATCGAATATAAACAACCAATAATATTCTGGTTGTTCTGTTTAGAATTTCTGAAAAAGTATCCGATAACTTTCCTGTTTTCGAATTTTCCTACAGAGTGTTGTCCGAATTTGTGCAGAAAATCGAAAGTTCCCTTTATTTCACCCGAGTTTCCCTACGAACTCGTTAAGAATTCGTAGGAAACTCGAACGTTCCTCTCCTTTTTTCCGACAAAACTTTCTTAATTCGTGGGCAACTGCATACAATTTTGTTCCGATTTCAGCTCGAATTCGACATCATAATCGGAGACTTTTGCACACAAGTTGTTAGCTGGGAAGTTTCCTGACAATACTCGAATTAAATGTATCAATTTTTTATGTGTTCTGTTCTGAGTGATAAATTTTTTTATATATTTTTAATTCCACAACAGTCGAATAGCTTTTTAATTATAATACTTTAAGGTCCATTTCTATTATCGGTCACTTCAGAACTGGTATTATTTGTGTGTCTAAAAGACAAATTGGCTATTTTATTTTTTTATTACAGAACTATTTTAACTATTCCATGGAAAATCCGAATAGTTAACAAAAAATATAAAAATGTGTGGGCTTAGAGATTATATTTGGCTCGAATAGCAAGTTCTCTTTTTTCATGTATGCGCAAAAAGGGTTAACAGCCAACGGGGTTCTGCAATGAACAACTGCAACCAAAACCTTGGAAAAATCACTTAAAGCCATTTTCTTATTTTTTTCTTTTAGCTAACTTCTTAACTCCGGTAAAGAAATGCATGACTTTTAGCATTGAATCACTGACATGCTGCAGAAACTCACCCTAACACGAATTGCTTACTGCATCATCAGCTTCCTCATCAGAATAATGGATGTCAGATGATGGCTGATTTTTTTTTACAATTTCACTTAACGCCATCAACTAGTTAAGAAGTTAAACTGTGATGTTGTAAACAGGGTGGGAGGAGGATTGGAGTGTCGAAAGTGAAGAGAATAAAACCACGTAATGAAAATTGCATGGCAACAAATTTGCCCAAAATTGCAGCAAATTGCATCTTCAAATATGTCATTGGCCATTTTTGTATACTCCTTTCGCCATTTCCTTCGTAAAAATCTGAACTTTACACTGACTGTAAATACATACATATAGGTATGTATTTGAATGTATGTGAGTTACCATATTGCAAGGATTGGCCAAAAACAAGAGTCAAGTGGCACCAACATTTGCAATCAACATTAAATGCTACAGTTATGACAAATACAAGTCAGTCGAGTCAAGTTTACTTGACTGGAGTCGGATCAAGGCAGTGTTGAAGGTTGCACAAACAGAATGCAAAATGACTTTGAATGACTCCGTTGACTTATGGACAAGTTGAATCATAGCAAATCTACACTAGTGTGAGTGTTTACATACATATGAATGTGTTTATCTGGTAGATTTATTTCCACACTAGAATTACAGCGATACCACCACTACCACCACCCTCAACGTATGATACACATCTCCATTTTGTCAAAGTCACAAGTAAAATTCATAATATTAGATTGTTCGAAAATTAATTTCAATTTCTTAGTTTTTTTTATATAATTTGAGATTGGATTTTATAAGAAATGTAAGATATAAATAAATTAGGAAATCGCAGCGTACTGTTTGTAATTTATTTATTTATTTTTTTAACTTTTGAAGAGAAACAATTCTCCGAGCAACCCAATAAAATTATTTTTGGTTACATCGGAATTCTTGCATGTGTGTGTGTGTTCCCCCACACAAACAAACTCATATATGTGTGCATGATCTGACACAATGGCATTCGAGTTAACTCCCACCAACATAAGTAGCTTTCATTTAAGAAATATTTTGCATACCAGCTTATAGTTTACTTCTAAATAGTACTTAGCCAACATGACTGACTACTTCTCTCACCACGGCACGTACATATATAACGAACGATCCAATACTTGGTTAGTCCTATTTCCCACATACGTTATGTTAGTACATATATTCAGAGTCTGTACCAAGCACACCAAGCAAAAGTTAAACATATCTGATGTTCAACAGAGACATTCCTACATGACATTTATGTGTACACGAATAGACTCTGATAACTTATACCCATGTTGCAGAGATGATGCAAATTCATGGAATGGGCTCGTTACTTACCATCAACATCGCAACAGACCAAATGCAAGCAAAGATTCTTTGTACAATTCTGAGGATAATTATGCTGATGCAGTGGCCCTGGTTTATCACTGACGTTGTCCTTATACAATACAACACTTGCCCAGCTTCGGTTATAATTGTGCTCTTTGAGGCGTAAGCTTTTGGTCTAATCAGAAGCTTGTTCAGGGAAAACTATGAATTAGTTAACTTATATTGTAAAACAGATGTAAAAAAAAACTATAGAATGTGAGATTCCATTTAATCAATACCATACTTTAATTAGGTTATTGTCTGTGAAAAAATGATAGTGATTTTAGTTCAAAAGCATTGTTGTCCGTACATCAAATAGCTTGTTTCAAAACATATCAATAAATGCTGGATACATTTTGAATTTCTTAAAAAAAAATCCTTAAATGTTGTTGAAGTTGCTGCCCATCTTCCAGCCCAGCCAATGGCATATTAAATGAAATGAACGTATCAAAGAAACCAATTGTAAACTTTTTTTCTGAGAAACGAAACTGAAATCAAGAACAACGAACCGAGAATTAAGTTAAAAATATTAGAAGTAAACAGTTCATTCGTGCAAATATCGTAAATCACCGTAAAATCAAAGGTAACTCTTGAAGTGTTCTGACGTGTTTTTTGTGGTGTTCGAAATCAGTGTTAATAAATATTATTTATTTTGAATCGATACCCTTCAAAAATCTTTTTGTTTCAAAAATTGTGATTCCTAAATAAAATAAAATACGTGCATTGTGAAATCTCACTTTTAATTTTAAAAATTGAAGTGATAAGTTAAATTTGTTTTCGTGCCTTATTGAGTTTGCAATTGTGTTTTATTTTCTTGTTGTAATTTTTCGTTTTTTGACATTTCTCTGTTTTTTCTTTTGTGTTTACATTTTTGTTTTTATTGATTGTTTTTAAATATTTTTTGTGTAGCATATTTTTAGGCACTTACTTAAAATAATGGCTTGTTTATACGAAGGTTGTACCATTACAAGCACAACTGAGCGGCTTATAACATGTTGGTTATGTGATAAGCATGCTCATTTCAAGTGTGCTGGATTCAATGGAAGACTTTTCGATAAAATTAGTGATCGTAACAATGGTTTGCGATGGGCATGTGTAGAATGTAGAACCTATGAAGTAGACTTTTATCGCCTCTTTAAGGAAGCTAAACTTGAAATGGTTGCCTTGAAAAGGGGCGTTGACTCGGTTTATTCTCGCCTTGAAAATTTTGAAAAAATGTTCAATAACTTTGAGTTTGCAGATGGTTCTCCAAAAAGGAAAAAATCGTTAGTAGTTGTTGCAGGGTGACAACTTAATTGCGTTAAACTCACCCGTTGTGGTTCCGCCACGCAACAATTCTAATCCTAGTCCATGTGGAAACCATCTGGCGCTGCCAGCGCTTCACTCAAATAGTGGTTCCGCCGCAATAACTTTAAATCTGAGAGATAGTTGTAGTTCACCGATCGAGACCTCCAATTCAAGCGCACCAAATGTCCTTTCACGCCCTCCTATTATACCTCCAATAGTTGTAAATACTCCTAGCCCTATACCTACTCAACCTTCTATACCATTAAATGAACCTTCTACGAGTAACAACGAATTAATTGTGGTTGCTCCTAGGAAAACTGTATTTATATCTAGATTACATGCTAACACTACAGTGGAAAATATACGTAGTTACATTGGTACTAAATTAAAAGACATTAACGTAAATGAATACAAAGTTTTTAAATTTAACACTGCAGCTCCTCGAGAAATTTCCTCGTTTAAGGTTATTGTTCCAAATAACTTATTTAGTATTCTTGTTAGTAAACAATTTTGGCCAGATGGTGTATTAGTAAAAGAATTCTTGTATAGAGAAAGGGCAAAACCTCCAACAGTGTTGCCTCTCTCAAAAAACTAATTATGAAAAATTCACTGAATATACTTTACCAAAATGTCAGAGGTTTAAAAACGAAACTTCGCAATATTTACTTAAAGTCTTTCGATAATGAATATAAAATTCTAGCTTTTACGGAAACATGGCTTAAACCAGATATTTTCGATAGTGAGCTTTTTTCTGATCAATATCAAATATACCGTAATGATAGATTACATAAAATAGGCGGTGGAGTGCTGATTGCTGTTCATAATTCCATTGCCTCAGAACGCATCACAATGCCGGTTTATCCGGATATTGAATTAGTCTGCATTAAATTAAAAATATCAAATTCTTCTATCTTATTAACTTGCTCCTACATTGCTCCAAATTCTAATCTAGAAATTTACTTAAAACACTTTGAGATTATTAAGGAAATTACATCCTCATATTCAACAAATACTGAATTGATTTGCCTAGGTGACTTTAACCTGCCTAACATTACATGGATCAGGGGTGAACATTATATTGATTATATACCTGTTGCATCTACTGGCATGGATATGTTATGGGAGTATATTTATGACCTATGTTTATTTCAAATTAACAGCATCCGAAACGTTAAAGATAAAATTCTGGATTTAGTCTTCACTACAACTTCAAATGTTTCCCTCTGTAGGTGTTTGCCTTTTGTGGAACCAGAAGATAATTACCACCCAACTTTGAGTATTAATTTGGAATACAATCAATTAACGAATGTCGCCTCAAAAACTTGTAAAATAAAAAAATTAAACTTTGCTAAAGCAAATTTAGTATTGCTTCAAGAAACGTTATCAAGCATTAATTGGTTCAGTAAGGGTAGTATTGATAATAAAATTTCATGCTTTTATAAACTCTTAAATGATGCACTTTCAATATCTGTCCCCATTCAAAAATATACCATCGATAGAGGTCCGGCGTGGTCCAACCCATATCTAAAACGTTTAAAAAATTCTAAAAGTAGGCTATATAAAAAATTTAAAAAATGCAACTCTACAGTGAATTACGTAAATTATTTAAAAGCCCGAAATTCCTATAACTATGAAAACTCTAGAAGTTACGCAAGCTACTTAAATAAAATGAGTAATAGTCTTCATAATAACCCCAAAAATTTTTATAACTTTGTAAATTCTAAACGTAAAGTACGGGAATTTCCTAGCAGTATGAATTTCGGCTGTAGAGAATCATCTGATATTAAAGAAATATCTGATATGTTTGCAGATTTTTTTCAAAGTACCTACTCAACATACTCTACAAATTCATCCTACAACTACAATATTAACAAATTAAATAACTTCCTCCCTATTACTCTCACGGAAGATGAAGTCTTAAATGGACTGAAATCGTTAAATAACTCTAAATCACCTGGTCCGGATGGTGTTCCCGAATATATCCTTAAATCCTGTGCTCATGAATTATATATTCCTCTTACTAATATATTTAATGCGTCGTTGTCTTCTGGTTATTTCCCTTATTTTTGGAGATCCAGTTTTATAATTCCCCTTCACAAATCTGGTAGTAGAAGTAACATTGAAAATTATAGAGGAATTGCGAAATTAAGTGCTATCCCCAAGTTATTTGAATTACTTGTAACACGTAGGTTATCCCACATTGTTGCCCCTCTAATATCTCCATGTCAACATGGTTTCTTAACTGGGAGGTCAACATTAACTAATCTATTAGAGCTAACATGTTACGTCCATAATGGTTTTGTGAATAAACTTCAAACAGATGTCATTTACACTGACTTCAGTAAAGCGTTTGACACTGTAGCACATCACCTATTATTGTATAAATTGGACATCATGGGTTTTCCATCATTATTCTTAAAATGGATAACTTCATACCTACAACACCGTACACAAAAAGTATTATTTAATGAAATTTTCTCTAAGAACATAACTGTTACTTCTGGTGTTCCACAAGGCAGTCACTTAGGTCCTGTTTTATTTGTTCTGTACTTAAATGACCTCCCATCAGCTATTACAACGTCAAGAGTGCTAATGTTTGCTGATGATGTTAAACTTTTCTCAAATCTTAATTCTTCAAATCAATATATTTATTTACAAAATGATCTGCATTCCCTTGCAAATTGGTGTAGTTTCAACGGCATGTCTCTCAATCTCAAGAAATGCAAAAAACTATCTTTCTTTAGAACACGACATGTGTCTTGTAATTACTCAATAGGATCGTACACATTAGAAAATGTAGACTCCTTTGTTGATCTTGGTGTTATTCTAGATAATAGACTTCGTTTCCACTTACATATTGAGGCTTGTGTTAATAAAGCGAAGTCGTTGTTAGGCTTTATAAAACGTTGGTCTAAAGAGTTTGATGATCCCTACGTGACCAAACGTCTCTTTGTAACTCTTGTTCGACCTACCTTGGAATACTGTTGCGTACTTTGGAGTCCTCTCTACAAATGTTATTCTGACAAAATAGAATCCGTTCAAAAACAATTTCTTCTTTTTGCTCTTAGAGGTTTACCATGGAATACAGATTTAGCTCTCCCGCCTTATGAAAATAGATTGAAACTTATAGATCTCCCAACTCTTGAGAGAAGACGTTTAATGCTCCGCGTAATTTTTATTACTAAACTTTTAAGAGGCAATATAGCTTCGAGTTTTTTAATTGGAGAAATAAAATTAAATGTACCTCCACGTAACACGCGTAACTACATTCCACTTAAACTTTCTTTAGCTAAATCTAATTATGAATTAAATGATCCCTTTCGTGCTATATGTGAGGTTTATAATAAGCTTTATAATTGTATACCATTTTACGACTCTGTAGATGCCATAAAAAATGCAATCCTTCGTATGTAGTTCTTTTGTCCTTGTTCGTAGTAAATACATATATGAGGAACATAGTCCGGAAAGATGGATAAAAGAAATAACTAAAAAAGCTTAGCCCATTCGAATTTACTATGATTGTTCTAGATAGATTATCATTTAAGCATGGATTAAAATATATATTATTTTAATGTGTATATAATTTTGAGTTCCTACATCTAGATCAGATCCGTATAGACTAATTTAAAACAAAAAACCTCACGATAGTCCAATTTTTTAATGAGTTACAGAGCTATTTTTGGATGGGTACAAATGTACCACGGTTATTGATCTACGTATACTTTTTTGGTTATTGACCGTAGGGTTTATATTGGATATAGTAATTATTTCAAAATTGGAAATTCCAATACAATTTACAAAATTTAGATAAAACAATATATTTTGAATATTTCCTGAAAATATTTTAATTATTATTGATAATCTTTATTATGTGTAGTTGTATTTTTTTCTTTTGATTATAATATTTTCCTCCGTTGAAAATTGTGAATGATTAAAAACTAAAAAAAAAATAATTTCTTGGTTTATAACTCAGGGTTTTTTAAATATTTTAAATTGTTTTACCTGCGTTGAAGAGTTGTTTCTTCTTAGAGTGACAATAAAGTTGTAAACTACATCCCTGACAACTTCATGGTTCTTTAATTCTGCCAGCTAATATTTGAAAATAATATTTTGACTCGTTTGCTTTTCTTCTTTCAGGATGAGGCTCGTAAAAAAGCAGCTTCAACGTATCTGGTGGACAATTCTGATCTACCGCCACCCCGTTATCAACAAGATGGCACAATGCCAGCCCTCTATCCTAATAATATTGGTAAGTACATGTAAAGCTTTAACAACATTATTATATACATATGCCTGTATTTATATTTGTATGTTGGACTTTATCTATTCGTGGTCATATGCAGCAATCAGAAGTAAAACGAAGCAAAGTTGAAAAGTTGTTTTTACCTAGATTTGTTTCTTTGGCTTAAAAAGAGAGAAATAAACAAGTCGTGGCTACATATGTTGGTCGGTGTGCTATCGATTGGCTGTTTGCTACCAGCCAGCCATTGCTTATGCACCAGCCAAGAATATGTTCTCAATGAAATACTCGTTGCTTGTTATTCTGATATGTTGAACTATAATTTGTAGGTCGGTATGGGTTTTCGACAACAAAAGTTATAACAGAAGTTTGTTGACCTAAATTGTGTATTGTTTAGCATCTTTAGATACAACATAACAAAAAAAAAAAAAAAACAAATATATTGTCATTAGCTAACATGAGATTAATGTTATAAGTTATGATATAATCAGTCCATATTTAATTATGAATCTTTTATTCGAGGTTTTAATTATATTTTCCAAACCAATTGGTTGTAATTTAACATTTTGAATTCGAACGAATATTACACGTGTCTATAGGAACCGACATAATGAGCCCCCTACAGTAAATATGTAAAGATATGTAATGGATTTTTATAAAATTATTTTGCTTGTAATTAATTGTTAATTTCCGTGATATATTTTCATTTCAATTGTAATTATATTACAATATATTTTATGTAACAGTCTTCAGAATTATTTTACGTGCACTTTTAGAACATTCGAAAATCATCTCATGTTGTTTTATTATTTATAATCTAATATTTATATGCTTTTGTTCAAAATTAAAACATGGAAACATTTTTATGGATATTTTGTAGTATTTAATTGACAAATCCATAATGGGATTTAAATCAAATGAAAATAATTATTTTCTATGTTTTCACGTCTTTAAATAATGAACACTTCAAACAAATCACAAACTCGATTCGACAAATGACAGCGTTGCTAATGAACAAAAAGTAAATGACACCCTGGCGTGTAATTTTATAGTTATCTGTTTATACGAAGCGTAACAAAAATAGAAAACGACCAACAACAGCAACTACAATACGATTGCCTATTTTTAAAACGGGACTAGACCCCCCTCCCATCTTCAAGGTAATAGGTGGAATTTGCATAAACAAATTTAACGCGTTTTAAATGAGATGTGCACTGATGAATGTTTTTCTCTCGATTTGAAATAAGGTGTGGGTTTCGGTATCAGCCAGAAAATCCCGGTGGAATACTACGCGTAAAATGTAAACTGGAAATGACGAAGCCGTGACAAGAGCTCAACAAAACAACAAAGTTTAAGGCACATACACAAAACGAAAAAGCAAACAAACAAAATATATAGACAGACGGATGGACGAGCAAAGAAGCAGTTCGACACATCGAAATACATAGGTCGCTGGAACAGTGCAGTTTGTTGCTTTAAGTTAGAGACATTGCGTGTATGGCATTGTGGCAAATGTATTCGCACTCGCACACTCAGAGTTCTTCATCATCAAAAAGCAGAGGAGTAAATGCAATTTCCAACAGACACACCAGCATAGATCTGACGACGATAGAATAAACAAACGAGCTTCGGGAAATACTGACTGTCACTTTGACGTGCTGCAATTTGTTTCAAATTATTCGCACATCAACGGACGAAGATTGGTGGATATGCTTCCTTCTACACATGTTGCAGTTCACATGTAAACACACACACATACATACAAATGCACACAGCATTCTAGGAAGAGAATGTCTTCTATATATGATGTAGCTGTAGCTGATACTTATACCGCCAACCACATGGGAATTCATTTAAATGAACATCCAGCTACAGCGCCATATACATGTATAAGTAATTCTCTTAGTTTCGCGTCGTGAAGCCTTGTGTCCTACCTTTGGCGATTACTATCAATGTTGAAAGGCTTACGTCAAGAAATTCTCATTTCACCGGCAGTAATCTACTGATGCATTGCATTTCCATATTTGCCACGGATAGCACTGAAACGATGACACTAGACTTTGGCAAATGCACTACATCAATCGTAGATATATGCATGTATGTGTTACCCACGTGGAAGACAGTATGGCAAAGCGTTACAGTTGTTTAAAACAAAATAAAAAAAATTGCGACTAGTATATAAAAATAAGCTTAGCATAGTTCCAATGGACAAACTATATTTTTTGGTTAAATTATGTTTGATATCTTCCATTCAAATGAAACAAAAACCTACATTGAAAATCGGCACAGCAACGTAAAAAAAACTTTTGATACTACACACACAAATTCGTAAAAATAATTGTCTACTCGATTTCACTCTAATAGTAAAAACTTGCCATACACTTTCATAAGGAGGACATGCATGCACATCCAAATAAACTAGGAAATGGAGAGTAAACTTCTTTAAAAATTGTAACGTTCGAATACTCTCACCAAAAAGAAAAAAATCAAACCAATTGGTGCTACGAATTAAAATCGGACCATCTGTCCAAACAGCCCTTATAAATTCACATAAATATTAGACTAGATTTTAGCAAAAATGTTATATGTCATTCTATACTTAATTCGTCGTGTTGTTTGGATACAATGTCTATTATTTACATAAAATCGGATAAAGTTATACATTAATACTATATATAAATCTGTAGCAATTCGCACCAATATAAATAGGGTTCAAGTAACATCGCAACTTGCTACTTATCATAAGTAATTTGATTCGATTTAAATTGAAATTCTATTGTGTTCCCTTTGTAAATTGCCAGACATAATACTCTGCAAATTCCTTACCGAAGGTATGTGTCATTCTGTGTGCAACACTTCAAAATTCATCATATATACCGATGTGGTCTTAAATTATGATTATTTTAATTAAAAATTAAAAAAAAATCAGAAGTTAAAATCGGTTAACCTCAGTTATCCCTTAAAAAGTCGTTGGTAAGACTATATTTGACTATTTTTTTAACAAGAAGCTTTGCCACTATGGCCATAATTATTTTTTTATATTCTCTTCTTTGATTCATAATGATGAATGTCATTACCTATATTAAATGGTTCGTATAAGAAATGAAACCTGTTCTGGCTACATGTTAGTTCCACCTTATTTTATAGCTAGACTTCAAACTACAATACACACACACAAACACAGGCACACTTGCATGCACCTTTTTTAATACCCAAATGATAAAGGACTCCAATGGCAACAAATTGAAAAAGATTCTCTTTCAATTTGGCTTCAAGGCTCTTCTTTGTCTTTTTGATATTTCATATTGCCGGTCCTTTGACTCGCTTAATGAGAAGGACGAACTATTTGAGCATCATTAAATCGAATCAAACATTTGCATGATGATGATGACGACGACTATAGTGATAACGACAAAGGTTCACTCTCCATACGAACGGCGTATAACGAACGGTGATGTCTTTCAGAGTTGCCTATTATTTTCCATAAATAGATACCCGTAAGATGCGGGTCATTTAGTTTTGGCAAGATTCTGTTCTCTCTCACAGAACATGGTCAAATTGGCTCAGTTTGTGTTGTTTATCATTTGTCTTGGAAGCAATGTCCATACAAACACACGCGTACAAACTCACAAAGACGTCCATATATCGAACACCATAGTCGGGTGCCCTGTATGATTTTCTTTCTTGGCATGTTATGGCTGTTTGGGGGCTTTACCTATGGTGGTGATGATGATGACGATGTTGACGTTGTTGCTACTACTCCTCGCTTGCCGATTATAGAACAAGTCGTATCAACATCATCCCGAATCCATCAACATATTTCTTGATATTTGTTACTTGTTTGTCTTTTCTTCCATTACAAGAGATAATTTTTGTTAACAGAATATTGTTGATTTCCTTTAAACATGGAATGTGTTCACTCACACACACACACACATACTCACTCACTACACACAGAACAGATACAGATATATTCTAAATACTCAACGGGAGTTGTCATCTTGTCATCCATTACCCGGAGGATACTTTTTACATTAATGTTTTGTGCAAAAACAACTATAAAATCAGCAGCGGCACTGAGGAGAAGGCAATGGCAAGAGCAAAATAACAACGACATCAACAACACAACAAATAATGCTCAAAGACATGATGACAAGGAGAACCAGGCGACTATGAAGACGAAACAGAGCCAGCACAATTCATGTACATTTCTATCCTTCTGTCTGCCAATGTGTTTGTGTGTCCCCTCGACTATATTCTCTGTATTTGATTCGAAATATGCTCCAGCAATCCAATTTCACAAAAAATTACAGTGGTTTTTATACAAGACAGTGCTGATCAAATGCGCGAGTTGAAATAAATAACTAGTTTGAAAGTATCGAGTTCAAATCTACATATGAGTCGTTTGTTTTGAAAGTGGTTTAATTCAATTTTTTTATATTGTGGTATTTAAAGGTTTTGTTTTGATTTGTTTCAAAAATACTGTTAAGTGGTATTAATTATGTTTGAGACTGTGTGCCCTTTAACACGATAGAGTATATAACGTAACATGTTATCAGAACATAAAATGGACTTAAACCACTTTCAAAATAAACGACTCATATTCTGTTTTAGGATCTAGAGCGTCGAAACTCAGGTCATATTGTAGATTTGAACTTCACAGTACTACTTTCATTACAAAATTCTTCGTATTTATAACAAATAATATGCAGGAACTTCATGTCCGAACCTTTTTATAAAAATATTGAATAGATCAAACATTTTTTAATATCATTAGTTAAACAAATTTATTTCCATTACCACTGTGCTTGAGTTCACACAAGAAGGATAAGAAAACGCGTCCAAGAAAAAGTGCGGCTTGTGACACGATTTTCCATACAAACAATATTCTCAACATAAAATACATAAAGAACACAATACATATTTCTTGTAAAAACCTGAGGAACCTCGTTAGCAAATAGTGGATTCATAGACTACGACCAACAGGGGAAGGAAGACGAAGTCACAAG